TCTTGGGTTCAAGCAATTCTCCTGCCTCGGCCTCCTGAGTAACTAGGATTACAGGCACGTGCCACCAGTCCTAGATAATTTTTGTATTTTTAGTAGAGACAGGGTTTCGCCCTGTTGGCCAGGCTGGTCTCAAACTCCTGACCTCAAGTGATCTGCCTGCCTTGCCTCCCAAAGTGCTGGGATTACAGGAGTGAGCCACCACGCCTGGCCTGTTTTCCCACTTTTAGTAAAAGCAAAGGTATTAGAATTATTTTTGCTTCCTTCTATAGCCCCAAAAAACAACAGTGCAAGTGTGATGACAAATTGCAAACAGCAGTTGGTCTGAGAAATGGGGTGACAACAGGGAGTGTTGGGGACTATGGGTAACCAGAGAGTGAATAGCATGTCCAAAGGACCATCCGTATTTGATAAATTAAACTGAACCAAAGCCTGTGCTCATGACCGATGAGACTCACGCTCTGCTACCTCCATAGCAACTGGGACGGCCCTTGCCCGTTGTCTGCCCTGCTCATGGCACATGAGGCCTTTTGATTTTAAGAATCAGAAGCCAGAGAGACCCGGGTTCCAATTCCAGTTCCACAATTTGCTGGCTCATTTTAGACAAGTCATGCCACCTTCCTGGGCCTCACCCGTGAAGAGGGATTATAATCCCTGGCTGCCCCCACCTGAAACAATATTATTCTGCAGATACAATCAGATCATCCTATTCAAACTAAAGCCATCCACGAAAATGATGGCATTTTTTTGGTTTTGTTTGCTGTGTGCTTGCCATGAATCTAGACTCATTGTGTTAAGGATTCTGGGGCTTACTAGGGAAAATGAGGAATGGGCTTTGCCTCTGCCAATTCATTCACACGGTCCATAGTGACTGAGCACCTACTGTGTACAAGACACTCATGTAGGTTCAGAGCTCACCTTAGCAGGAGAGGCAACACAAAGAAGCAGTCAGCAGGCCAGGCGCGGTGGCTCATGCCTGTAATCCCAGCACTTTGGGAGGCTAAGGGGGGTGGATCACCTGAAGTCAGGAGTTCAAGACCAGCCTGGCCAACATGGTGAAACCCTGTCTATACTAAAAATACAAAAATTAGCTGGGTACAGTGGCACATGCCCTGTAATCCTAGCTACTTGGGAGGCTGAGGCAGGAGACTCGCTTGAACCAGGGAGGCAGAGGTTACAGTGGGCCCAGATCATACCATTGCACTCCAGCCTGGGCAACAAGAGCAAAACTCCATCTCAAAAAAAAAAAAAGAAGAAGAAAAAGAAGAAGCAGTCAGCAAATGAGGCAGCATTCTAGAACAGTCCGAGACTTCTGGGCTGCAATGCTTGGTGTGTGGTCCAGACCCTGGGACCCTGGGACAGCATATGACAGGGATGAGCAATGAGGCCCTGGCACCAGTGATCCTGGAGTGACCAGAGGTGGACAGTGATGCTCAGCCCACAGCACTGCAGAGGACTAATGAGGTGTGCAGAATCAGGCACATGCCAGGTGCTCCTCCAGGGGGGTGGGACTTGATCTAGGCCTTGAAGGACAGAAAGAAGACGCAATCTCAGAGTGACCAGCAGTAGCGCTGGCATCACCCTCGGTGCCCCAGGGCAAAGGCCCACAGAGCTCATGATGGCCCCTAAGAAGCCAAGGGACCCCATGTTGGGGGAAGGTGTCTCTTGGAACTTTGACCCAGCACAGGATCCTAGGATGGCTCCCATGGGCCCCCCACTCCCCACCATGATATCTTGTTCTCTCTGGTTTCTTCCTTACTCCCCTCATCCCAGAGCTGGAGAGGCTAAAGAAGCTGAGTCATGAGATCAGAAACCCAGGTAAGCAGTCCACGCTGCCAGCCCTGCTTGTGCAGCTCCCACTGGGCCCATTGGCATGTTCTGAGCAGAGCAGAGTCAGGCCAAGGATCAGGAAACAATCCCAGAGGGACGGGGTGGGGGCGGACGGCGGGGGGAGCCACGAGGCTAGAGGATCAGAGACCACCCAGGAAGCTCACGGAAGCAAAAGAGCATCAGGAAAGGGAAAGGATTCGAGGCAGGGAAATGTGGGTGTTTTCCTCTCTTTGTAATTACTATCACTGGCTCTTTAGTCATTAGGATTTGGGATCATCTAAACCTCCTTCAGGTTCTCTAAGTGTTTTGCATGTCAGATGCGAAGGGTGTACTCGAGGTGGGGCTGAAGGGAGGGGGTAAGGGAGACGGGGGCTCAACCCACCCCCTTCCCGTCCTGTGCCTCCCACAGTGATCAAACTGATCTCGGGCTGGAACATTGACCTCCTGGAACGAGGGGAGGTGCGGCTTTGGCTGGAAGTAGAAAAGTTATCTCCCGCCGCTGAGCTACATCTAATCTTCAACAAGAAGGAGATCTTCAGCTCTCCGGTAATTGGGTGCTCACAACCCCTAAAGTGAGGCTCCCCTGCCTGGGAGGTGGCCTCTGGGGGCAGTGATTCTGCACGAGCTGGTACTTCCCCCTAGTGGGCATTTCAGAAATGACAGTGTGCCTTTGCTGTCCGGTGATGGGGAAGGGATGGGGACGTTTGGCTTTTAGTATTAGTGCTGGTGTTGGGGGTGGGGGTTGGCAGGGACACTAGAGGCTGGCCAATGCAAGGGACATTCCCACAAACAAAGAATTTCCACGCCCCCTATTTTTGATTACTCCACCAGACATTCTTAAGATGAAAAACCTGTATTCATGCCTATAAGTATCCAAGCCTAGACCCTAACTCTGTTTTAGATATAAATACAAAGTATTTTTGTACAATTTTTTTCTTTTTTTAAGACAGAGTCTCACTCTGTCACTCAGGCTGGAGAGCAGTGGCACTAACTCAGCTCACTGCAGCCTCCACCTCCTGGGTTCAAGCGATTCTCCTGCCTCAGCCTCCCAAGTACCTGGGATTACAGGCGCCCACCACCACACCCAGATAATTTTTGTATTTTTAGTAGAGAGAGGGTTTCACCATGTTGGCCAGGCTGGTCTTGAACTCCTGACCTCAGGTGATCCACCCACCTCGGCCTCCCAAAGTGCTAGGATTACAGGCGTGAGCCATCACACCCAGCCCTTTCTTTCTTTTTCTTTCTTTCTTTCTTGCTTTCTTTCTTGCTTGCTTGCTTTCTTGCTTGCTTTCTTGCTTGCTTTCTTGCTTTCTTTCTTTCTTTTTCTTTTCTTTTCTTTTCTTCTTTTTTCTGAGACAGTATTGCTCTGCTGCCCAGGCTGGCATGCAATGGTGCGATCTCCGCTCACTGCAACCTCCGTCCACCTGCCTCCACCTCCCAAAGTGCTGGGATTACAGGCATGAGCCACCATGGCCAGCCAATTTTTTTTTTTTTAATCTTTTAAATTAGAGATGGGGGCTCACTATGTTGACCAGGTTGGTCTTGAACTCCTGGCCTCAAGTAATCCTTCTGCCTCAGCCTCCCAAACAATTTTATTTTTTGTTTTCTGTTTTTGTTTTTGAGACAGAATCTCACTTTGTCACCCAGGCTGGAGTGCAGTGTCACAATCTCAGCTCACTGCAGTTTCAACTTCCTGGACTCAAGCAATCCTCCCACCTCAGCCTCCCGAGTAGCTGGGACCACAGTCACACACCACCACACCCAGCTAATTTTTGTATTTTTTTGTAGAGATGGGGTTTTGCCTCGTTGCCCAGGCTGGTCTCAAACTCCTGAGCTCAGGCGCTCCTCCTGCCTCAGCCTCCCAAAGTGTGCAATGTTACTATACACTGAATGGAGAATTTGTATTCTGCTGGCCACTTTCCCTATGCTCATTCATTTTCCTGCTTTTGTACAGAATAGCTTCTGATTTTTTGCTTTTCTTCTCCTAAAGTCAAACCAATTCATTATATATCAGTGCAGCATGATTGAGGTCATATCCAAGCATCTGTATATTGAAATATTTTTATTTTATTTTAAATGACTTATTTTTTCTTTATATTACAGTTGATATTATTTTGTAAATCATATCTGTAAATATGTTGTATTAGATTGAACCACATGATTTGTTGATATTCAACTGTTTACCTGCTGATGTGGGAATTTCAATCTCATGAGAGATTCAAATTCATGATTCAATCTCATATTACTTGTGAATTTCATCTCCAGATGGCAAAGCAGCCATTAGAAAATATGTGTTGTGGCCAGGTGGGGTGGCTCACACCTATAATCCCAGCACTTTGGGAGGCCGAGGCGGGTGGATCACCTGAGGTCAGGAGTTCAAGACCAACCTGGCCAACATGATGAAACCCCATCCCTACTAAAAATATAAAAAAGGCGGTATGCACCTGTACTCCCAGCTGCTTAGGAAGCTGAGGCAGGAGAATCACTTGAACCTGGAAGGCAGAGGTTGCAGTGAGCCGAGATCACGCCATTGCACTCCAGCCTGGGCGACAGGGTGAGACTGT